TCTTTATTTTTACTTGTCTTTTCCTTTGATTTTCTATGCTTCTTCACGGATTTCTTTCATCTATTTGTCTCCAGCTTTCATCGCTTTTATTTTTCCCTTTTCTTTGTTTCTTCATGGTTTTTTTGGGTTCTCTGTTTTCTTCATCTCTTTGTTGGTTTTCTTTTGTTTTTTGTTTCCCATTTTTTTACGGCTTTCTTTAGTTTCTAAGCTTTCCTATTTTTTTCATCTATTGAACAAATTTTATTTTGTATACATAATGTACATTTTTAGTGTACACGTGCTTTTTTTATATATGTCAGGAACAATTTTTATGGACATTAACTATTTTAAAAATACTTGATTAACATTTTTCATGTATATGTTTTGATGGTATCCTTATTTATACACATCTTACATTTTTATACATATACAATACTTTTCATATGCATCTAACATTTTTAAATACAATTTTGGAATCAATGATTAGCATTTCCTAAATATATAATTAATATTTTATTAAGTACATGATTTAGCACTTTTAAATTCAATGATTTTTTGAAAACATGTTTTGATGACTAAATTTTTTCATACATATTGTACATGTTTTATGTAAATCTGAAACAGTTATTTGATATACGTCTGACATTTTTAAAATACATGATTAAGTTTTTTAAACACATGTTCTTGAAAAATATATTCAAATACGTGTTAAAAAATTTCAAACACATACCAGTTTTTAAATACTATAAACTTTACTCTAAAGTTGTGCCATCATAATTTAATTCCACAAAAAAAAATTCTTAAAACAAAAGTAATTCTTTGGGAAATATATGTATTTTAGTATTATTTGAAGATATAACAAAAATAAGAAGAATTAGAGTTATAGACGCGTCTATGACCATGGCGTACATTTGGCAAACAGAAAACATTAGTTCATGAACTGAAAACTAATGGAACAAACAACATTAGTGGGCCGTGCTATGACCACACCGTTTCAAGCGAGCTATAAACGTGCCCGAACCATTGCGTGCATTTGGTGAAATCCTATGTCAAGTTTATGGCACCGAATTCTTCATTAACCCGAATATTTCCTTATCCAGGAATCTTTCTAAATTCTATTTTTTTTACAAGTTGTGAACATTTGTTTCTTTTAGAAACACTTTTCTGTAAATTCATGAACATATTTTGAATTCACCAACATTTTCCAAATTTGTGAACATTTCCTGTTCACCATGTGTTTTCCAAATTCGTGAACAGCTTTTGAATTCCTGAACATTATTTCAATTTCACAAACATTATTTCAAGTTCATGATCATTTAAAAAAATTCATGGACAATATATTGTATTCACTCATTTCTCAAATTTGCATTCTGTTTGCAAATTTGCGGGAATTTTTATGATTTTTAATATTATAAATATGCAAACACTTTTTCTTGTATACGAACATTTTTCAAATTTATAAACTTGTCATCATAAAGCGAAATATTTTTTCAAATTAATTTTTGTAACCCACGAACAATATTAAACATCATGTATTTTCCATATCCATATGATCGAGTCCTTAGGTTTCCGAATAGTGTAATTGAATTATAAGTGTGATTCTTTCCCGAATTCCCAGTTTTTTAAAGTTCATCATTTTTTTAAATTTAGTAACATTTTTAATTCACGAACAATTTAAAAATCTTTGATCATTTTTATAAATTCATGAATATATTTATAAGATTCTTGAGCTTTCTTTGGAAATGGCAAACTATTCTGAAATCCTGATTTTTTTCTAAAATTTGAAAAGTACTTTTAATATAAAAACTGTCTGAAATAAAATGATATCCGACTGAACAAACAACCGAAAAGAAAAATCGTCAGCAGGTAGCAGTAGTGCATATGGGCCTCAACCGAATGAATCCCACAGAAAAGGTGCACTCGCAAGAAAGGTCGAGTTCTCACCATAAGACTGACTAGACAGAATATAGAGAACATGGCAGGAACCATGACTTATAATGTTCATATACAAATTACAGAGTTAATATTTACAATTATTGCTTCCTCTTCATGGTGCCTATGTGCCAATTTGGAGGTGCACGTGTGACACAGTGATCCGAGCACAAGTTCAAAAACCGTGGATAACATTGCACTTTGAGGTCCTATTTGATTCGTTGGATTCTCAAAATGTAGGAATACAAAAGCATACGAATAGAGTGAGCTCACTTTTTCCCCACAGAATTACATAACTACAATAATTTGGATGGAGGAGTGTTTATAGCACAGAAAAACAAAGAAATTTTATTAAAATGTTTGAGTGGGCGGGCAATCTATAATACCTAAATAGTTCATCCCCAGTAACCTATTTCTCTTGACATGCAAGATGTCCATATCAGCAAATCTTCCACCTCAGCAAATCAGCCATGTGTAAAAAAAATCAACAATTTGTTGGATATTTTTCCGTAGTACATGGTCACCCCCAAAGCAAGCCAACGTTTCCTATTCACGACACATCCTAATTGGAGCAAAATAAAAGAGCCCCAGGCACGCACGTATCATCTTCTCTGGCGATTCCTTTGATCTTCCCTGGCGATTCGTTTGTTCTTCCCTCCCACCTTATATTTCTCTCCCGTGGCCCATCGGCATCCACACCCCAAGCCATCTTTTGGCCTTCTACGAATCCGTGCAACAATCTCATCTCTTGGCTGCCTACAACGACACTACTGCCGAATTCAGAGGCGAGGAGCTGCGATGATCCGAACAAATGTTGGATTCAGTGGTGAGAAGCTGCGCCAGCCTCTCCTGCGGCAGAGCTCCGCCATACCGTCCCTTTCCCATCTTCCACTCCAAGCGACACCTTCAACTCTCTCCACCACCGCGGATTCGACGACGAACAGGTACGACTGCCCCTGCCACAACCTGATTTGATGACGAGGAGTCTCGCCAACCCCTTCAGCAATCAATCTCTTCCGCCCTCACTCCCTTCACCATCTTCAATTGTTACCTTGATGCAGCCCGAAGAAAAGGCGAGTAAAATACATCAGGTTTTGGTTTTCTACAGCGGCACTGCAAGATCTCATCCTGAATTTGTGGATTGTTGTGGAATCATGAGCTTCTGCATATGATAAGGTGAGTTATCATGTTAGTGGTTTTTCGGAAGAAGTTGGCTTAATTCTCTGTTCATTACAATGATGACCTATAGAACAGATAACTGGATTAGCATGATTTTGATGTGTTATCCCTTAAATGTTATTTCGGAGGATATACACAGGGAAGCGACAATGATGGTACAAAAGATCCCAGATTAACATAGAGGAAGTACCAAGAATCGAGTAGTTAATTCTGTATACTTTATATTGTTATGGCAAGAAGCCCGCGGCTAAATAATCTATATACACATCATGTCGTATAGTTTGATTCGGTATGATGTGCACACTTACAGTTCATAATAAGAGGCCAGAAAGGTGTTTATTCTTGGTTAGTAAACTTACCTTTGTTTTTTATAAATGTATTTCTGTACTTCATTGTTCTCTCTTACATTAATGAGAAACAAGCTATTACTGTTGGTTTTTAGCTATGATGTGCCATCCGGCGTGGCACCATCTATAAGTTGCCTCTTACTTTTGTCAATCTATTTTCACTAAAGATCTTGATGCATACACACTACACACTAAACTCTCTCGCTTCTTTCCTGAAAGGTACTGAAGTTACCGTCTTCTTTCGTGAATGGTGCACTGAAGTCGTTATCTTCTGTCATGCTTCTGTTGGATAGATCATAAGAATTGCATGCTAGGTGGAAAATGTTTTTAATTCAAGAAATTTGGAAGAGATGTGCTACTTGGCCCAGTCTAACTCATAACTTTTTTTTTTCTATTTTTCCTTTTCTTACATAAGTCTACTTCCTGCACACGCAACAATGTAAGGTATATGCAAATGTATGTTTACCGCTAATCATGGTAGCTCGCTTCCTTTCTTTGCTGTAATTTTATTACAATTCCTCTATATATACTTGCCTTTGTGCAAGTATTCCATGTAGATTCAGATAAATATCATGTACTGTTGATGCATAAATAGATTATTCTGGAGTTTCATCTTTCGTATGGTCCGCTGCAGATCAATGAAACTGAGAATAGTATTCCTAAAATTATGATCATTTTGGTCTCTTGAAAAAAGGATTTAACTTTACTGAACATTCCAGTGTTACTTTGCTTATTTTATTTTCTTAGTCACACTAGGAGAAGTCCATGGTGTCACAAGTTTACTCAAATTTAATAAAGATACGGTGTAACGGCTATCTAGGTACACCCAAGATCCCCAAAATAATCGATCAATGTCTGCAAAAAATACTATTCATGGCATGTAACATTGCGCATCATGTATCATTCTAAAGTATTGTTGTCAAAGCAGAATCGTATATTCATAATTTTGCTTAACCTTTTTTGAGTTATTTTACCGAGTAAAACAATAATTTGGGGCAACATTTCCTGCAGTAACGCGAGGGGAATCATCTAGTTTTGTCAGTAATCTCAACCGGTTTCGTAACTCCAACATGCTCGGACAGCCGGACCGGATATGTATGTATGACATTCTCACGTGCATGCGTCGATGGATGGATGCGGACAAAAGAAAAACGACCTGACGGCTCACCGAGAGCCTGTCTTCTGACCCCACCCCACTCATCCATAGGCTGGTTCCAAGTCTACCCTGCCATCATGTTGCTTCCTTCCATCTGTTAGAAATCTCTCTCATATGGTTGTCGTGTATGCATCCTCAATCACTTGCAAATTAAGTGTGATTTGTAACTACATATTGGCTACCCATATATAAAGATGAAATTAAGTTGATTTCCCTGTAAAGTTTTTCTTGTGCGGAATTATATATACTCTACAAGCGATCAATATGTCTAAACGACGTATCTTGAATAATCGCCACAGTGTAAAATTTACAGCTACTGAATTGAACAGCACAAGATCCCCGCAGAGGAAAACTACAAAAAGAAATCCATAGAAAAAAAGACCTTCCATGTAAATTGCACTATCTCGCTAGCTGCTAATCACAGAGCTACTAGTGCTACTGCTAGGCAGCTCACTCGGGCTCAGACTCTGCGCGTCGTCTTCGGAGCCGGCTGGCTGCGCGCCGGCCTCCCGCGCATCCGCCATCTTCCTCTCCTCCGACCTGCACGCGGCGCAGCACGCGGTCTCCGCGCCGGCGTCGGCGGCACGGCTCGTCATCGACGCCGGCGTGGCCAGGAAGCTCGGCTGCTCGTCGCCGGCCATGATGACCACGACGTGCCCCAGCCACTCCCTCGCGGGCTCGGCGGCCGAGCCCTTCTCGCCGTCGGAGCCCGCGGGCTGGTCCTCGTCCGGGCCGGCGAGGCCGCCGGAGAGCTTCCAGTAGGAGCAGGCCAGGGTGAGGAGCGAGAGCGCGATGAGGGCCAGCATCGTCGCGAGCCCGCCGAAGAGGTACGGCACCGGCGTCTGCCACGTCGACCGCGGCGCCGCCGCCGCGGGGCCGTGGGCCATGGGGTACTCGGCTCCGGGCCTCATGGCATGGGTCGCTGGCGTCCCAGTGACAGCAGTGCGCGCCTCTCTGTTGTCTGTGTTGTCTGTTGCGTGGGTGGTGTGATGCTGCTACGTTCCACATAAAATTCCCGTGGGAATGGGAGTGGTGCTACTCGCTAATGCCTCTGGTCACCTATATATTGAGGTCCATTACTGAAGCTGCACTAACAGTACTGTTGCGTGGGTGGTGTGAGAAGATGGTCTTGATTTCTAGGAGCAACGTGCAAAAGCACAACGTCAGCTGGCTTTTCGACGTGTCATAAGAACTAGTTTTAGGGTTTACGCGTGATTAGTTCATCGCAGAAAGTATATAAAAAAAGACACTATTCGTTAACGAGGTCCATCGCCCATCAAACATGAGTTATATCCTCCGAGTATGACTATGGACACTCCTCTCGTGTACTAAATCCATACATATCAACGAGAGCCTACCAGGTTCACTGAGTCTATTTTGGCTACCCTGCTTCAACTCAAACACATACCCTCCTCATACTTCAAGTCTAACCGTAGTCAATACACACGTATTTGACATAATTTCAACAAGAACAATTGATATTGAAGAGAATTGTGATAAAGAGAATAAACAACATATATTAATTCATTTGAAGTTGTATTTAATATTGTTTTTGATAAAGAGAATATACTAATATGAAGAAGATATCAACTTACACTCTGATCTTTGCACATGATTTCAAGAGCTAGCCGGGGCATTGAGGATGCACACAGAAAATGATTAATAGATCCATTGCAGCAAATATCCGCATCAACCATTAATGATGGCAACCTTGGGGAAACATGATAGGTGTTCCAACAACCACACCTCTTCAAAGTGAACGACACGCCAACACTGTCGTTGCTGGACCTCAACCATTGATGTACATCGTGGGTTTTCACCCCATAGAGAAGTTTGACTAAACTCCAGGCTATGTCGCCAATATAGTTTTTTTTAGATATTTTCCAACTAAAATAATAATAATAATAACTATAGATATGCTTAGGATGTTTCAAGAAAAAATATATGTAGTAATCCCCCTTAGCGGTCAAACGATGCTGCCTAGATGGAAATGAGATGGAAGGGCGTTTCCACAAGGCCATCTAACAAACTAGGGGCATACCCAAGAACTCTGAAAAAACCAGGTGCAAACTCGAGTAGTAGAACCAACTAAAGAAAGTAATGCAAATATCCTTTTATTTTCTGCCTTTTATTCTCTGGCCCTCCCACGAGAGCAGATTTTTGGAATCTGATATACTAGAAGTCCGGAACACATTTCATAAACCTGATACAGTATGTTTTAAAAATTACAAGAAAATTCAAAAACTACATTTGAGACCTTGGTATTTTTGACCTTGGTAAAAAGAAAGGAGAAAGAGCTACATTTATAATTTCAAAAACTACTCTCAAGACATATTTTTGGCCCTTTATATATAAATAAAGCCGAATGGTCAAACGATACAAAGTATCGAGGTATCCCCTGGAAGCCGGTCAATTAAAATACACGGAAAAATACTAGGCGGAAATGGTTAAACACACACAACCATGCACTACTGAACGTTGTCACATTCGATTAAGATCCACATGCGTCGACCATGCCCTCAATAGGGTCATGACACGATTGCCAATGTCACCGCTCAGTCCAAGGCGAATGAAGGTTTTCACCCTGAGTGTCTGAAGGTAAGGGAAGGAACAACGTGATGCCCCAAGAGGAACGATACAAGAAAAGATATCGCCGATGCCAAGGCGCGGAGCTTTCGTTGACCCCCCCATCCACCACATCGCATCGAGAAGTACCCCGATGGAGAACCTCCACCACGGACCAGGGACTCCATATCCAAATCAGGACTCGGCCTCCACCACCGGCAACAATTTCTCGAGGACCACCTGCCACAACACACCTCACCACCTACATGGCCGAAGCACACTGCCAACACCAGCTACCACGTTGCTCGCCAGAGAGCCAATTCGTGTAACCCACAATCCAGGGTCGCCGCCTTGGCACCCTTGGCCCCGAGCCCGGCCCATGCAAAGCCAAACTCGATGAGCACGCAGGAGGGGGCGGAAAAGCCACTCATTCCCGCCGCTAGACAACATTCAACCCCCTTGCTCAACCGTGAGCATCAGCAAATATGGCCCGGAAACAGTCCCGTCTAGATGGCTACCAACCACCACTGCAATGACGGCTATCAGGTCATTATATCTAGCCCCGCCTACTATGGAGGCCAGGTCTGGATGGGGCCCACCCGCACAACCGACCCCACCCTGCCCCAACTAGGAAGATGAGAGCTTCTGACAACACACAACCATCGACAGGAAGGAGGGTGTTAGACTGCAGGCCGCATCTGGCAGATCCACAACCCGCATCGCTGGCCAAATCTGAGGACGATGACTAATCCACCGTCGATGGTCTCTCACGCTAGCTCGGCAAGGAAACGAGGCGGCACCAATTCCCAAACTGGAGCACATGCAAGAAGACGACATTATCATTCTCATTTTCATGCATGTCGCAATTCGTTATATTATTTACGGAAGTTTACATGAGCAAGTTTCAATTAATGACCTACGTGTGTGATCTTTAAATTTTGCCAAAACTTGGAAACTCGATTTTTGTTATTAAGTTTTGGAAATTAAGTGGGTACACTACGTCGAGAATCATTGTACTCCCCATTACTATTTTAGAAGGCGTATTAATTAGTGCAAAAGTCAATTGTTTCTATTTTTTATCAAGTCTTAGGAAAAAATATCAGTGTGTACAATATTGAATGAGCATCATTAGATCCATCATTAACATTTAGATACTGATTTGATATTGTACAAGGTTTTCTATAAACTTGGTCAAAGGTTGGAAAGTTTGAGTTTTGTAAGAATAATACACCTTATTAAAAGGAACGGAACAATTTGTAACTACTTTGCTGGTGCCTCCTCGAGTAATACGGCTGATATCTTGGCAATAGTTAGGTTGTTGTGATGGTTCCATCAGAGAGAGAGAGAGCTAGCCTCATTTCCTGACAAAATTAAATAGAAATTAAAATAACAAAACCCTAGGTTTGATGAACCTTGCTTTTAATTATATGATATTTGGAAAGTTTTCCCTACGCTGAGCGATCATGGCATTTCAGAAAGTTGCAGCACTCGAATAAAATATAGCGTTAAATATGTTCATTCATTCCCTCTTATCTGGTTTCACCTAAAAAGGCAAATATCACAACACTTCCAGAGGATCATAACTAAAATCAATAATGAAGTCATGTTGTTATCTATAATCAACATGCATAATGAATGTACTATTAATTAATCATAAGTGGATCGAGCATTACATGAATGACTAAGGACGTTTGCTAACTTTAGACAACCATTTGCATATATTCCCCAAGTGGAAAGGACAACACCGAAGAGCTGAGAAGCGGAATATAAAGTTCCGAAAAATATTTGCATAACTTCCGCACATAGGTAGCGGAAAAGCCAAACATGACCACAAGATTCACTATTGAATGATTGGGTTAAACCAAATGACCATACCACTAAACAATGTTATTTTTTGCAGGGCACTAAATTAAAAACATTCAATACAAGATTAGCAAAAGAGAGTCAGGTTCAGCTGAATCCAAGTCTGTTATGTTGGCTCTAAGGATCGACAACAATAATGGTGCTCCCCTGCAAAAAAAGATAACAATGATGTCATTTCATTTCTAAGTCGTGCCATCGCTAATCTATACTAACTCAGTTTTACGTGGAGCTAGAATATATCATTTTGGTAAAAAAAGTTTTATAACAACTAAAGTCTTCTTAGTGATTGCTAAAATGTCCTATGATGAACTTGTTAAGTAAGCTGTTTTGAATAATTAGTTGGAAAATAGTTAGCTTTGTCAAAAATAACAATTAATAATTTAACTAACTACCAAAAACATCCAAATGACTACACTACCCGTATCATGTAACCGGTATAGTGAATCAAACCGAACGGGTTTGTCAGAAACAACACACCAAACAAACATGCCCATAAACAATCTCTAAACAAACATGGCCATAACCAATCTTTGCATATGAATTCTTTCTTGTTGTGTTGTATAACTGCAAGAGGTTGAGTACCTAAACCTTTTAACTCAAAATTGATAGCTCATAGACAAATATCTAAAGGAGGTTGGCACTATAAGATCTCCATCAATCATGCACCGATCCACAAATTTATGAAAAACCATCGCATAAAGTGAGTAGTAAATCCATGATGCAACTCATGCATTATTACATGTTCAGTTGCTTGTATGGCATGCAGATTGGCTAAGCAATCTCTGCAGTTCCATCTCAAACTGTTTGTACCTAACAATATGAGAAATACATAGTCTGGGTAAAACCAAATTAGAAAAATGAGAAAAAAAATCCAAACCAATGAATTTGAGAATTCTAAATAGACAGTTAGATGCATCTCCACTATCCATTTGGCTGCCGCACACTTCACGTCACTAATTTGGTCTTTTAAGTGAAGGAAATATGCCCTAAAGGTAATAATAAATTTGTTATTTATATTTTCTTATATCATGATAAATGTTTATTATTCATGCTAGAATTGTGTTAACTGGAAACTTGATACATGTGTGAATACATAGACAAGACAAAGTGTCCCTAGTATGCCTCTACTTGACTAGCTCGTTAATCAAAGATGGTTAAGTTTCCTACCATAGACATGTGTTATCATTTGATGAACGGGATCACATCATTAGGAGAATGATGTGATGGACAAGGCCCATCCATTAGCTTAGCATAATGATCGTTAAGTTTTATTGTTATTGCTTTATTCATGACTTATACATATTCCTTTGACTATGAGATTATGCAACTCCCGAATACCAAAGGAACACCTTGTGTGCTATCAAACGTCACAACGTAACTGAGTGATTATAAAGATGCTCTACAGGTGTCTCCGAAGGTGTTTGTTGGGTTGGCATAGATTGAGATTAGGATTTGTCGCTTCGAGTATCAGAGAGGTATCTCT